TCCAATTTATAAGCTGCAGGGCCAACTTTGTTGAGGACTTTGAAGGGACCATAGAACTTAGGCGACAGCTTGTGAGGAGTCTTCTTGTCCTTGAGTGATTGTTGACGGTACGGTTGTAACTTCAAGTACACAAAATCTCCCACTGTGAAGGACCGATCTGATCGGTGAGCATCTGCAGTCTGTTTCATCCGATTCTGTGCTCTCAGAATGTGAAACTTTAGCATATTAATAACCTCTTCTCTCTTCTGAAGGCTACGATCCACTGAGGCTGAGTTGCTTTCTCCTGGAAGGTAGGGTAAATGGATAGGAGGAGGCTGACCATACACGATCTCGAACGGAGTGGTCTTAATGGCACTGTGGTGTGAAGTGTTATACCACCACTCTGCCAAAGCTAGCCATTTGCTCCAGGAACTTGGTGTATCAGCGGTCATGCAGCGGAGGTAAGTCTCTAGTGTTTTGTTGGTGGCTTCGGTTTGGCCATCTGTTTGGGGGTGATAGGCTGTTGAGTGCTTCAGCTCAACACCTTGAACTCTGAACACTTCCTGCCATACCTCACTCAAGAACGTTGGGTCACGATCACTGACAATGTCTTTTGGCATGCCATGCAGCTTGAAGACATTATCAATGTAAGCTTGAGCTACTTCCAGAGCGGTGTACGGGTGAGACAGAGCAATGAAATGGGCTTGCTTACTCAGCCTGTCGACCACAACCATGATGCAGTGCTTGCCGGCAGAAGGGGGAAGACCTTCAATGAAGTCGATGCTGATAGATTCCCATACACCTGCTGGTACTGGTAAAGGTTGTAGCAGGCCGGGATTAGCAGCTAGGTCACTCTTATTCTTTTGACATACGGAACAGTGACGAACGTAATTCTGTACTTCCAGACTCATTCTTGGCCAGTAGAAAAGGGACTTCACACGTTGCAATGTTGAGTCTCTGCCAGAATGGCCACCTAATGCCGAGTCATGGAGCCATTTCAGAATATGTAACTTGACCTCTTTATCATCCCCAATTACCAACTTGCCTCTTCTGCGCAGTTCGCCGTTAGTGTAAGTGAAGGAAGGGTGTGCCGATTTGTCTTTAGCAATATCAGATATCAGCTTCTGCAGATTGTGATCAGTTTCCCACAGCTTCTGAATAGCTTCATAAAATCCTTCATGTGACTGAGAAAGTGTGATCTTCAAGAGCTGAGAACCAGATACCCGGGATAGAGCATCTGCTGCGACATTTTCCTTGCCTTGTCTGTAGTGTATCTCGAAGTTATAGCCCATAAGCTTGGATAGCCACATGTGTTGAAACGGGGTGGTTATCTTTTGCTCCATCAAGAATTTTAAGCTCCGCTGATCTGTTTTTATGATGAAGGGTCTATGAGATAAGTAGGCGTGCCAAGACTGAACCGCGTGAACCACTGCAAGGAGCTCCTTTTCATAGACGGAGAGAGCTTGGTGTCGAGGTCCTAGTGCGCGGCTGATGAAGCATATAGGGTGGTTGTCCTGCATTAACACGGCACCAATCCCGGTGTTAGATGCATCGGTTTCAACCACGAAGGTTTTCTCAAAATCCGGTAAAGCTAGAACAGGAGTGGTGGCTAGAGAGTTCTTGAGAGTTTGAAACGCCTGATCAGCTTCATGACCCCAAGCGAAGCCCTCTTTCTTCAACTGGATGGTTAAGGGGCGAGCTAACATGCTATAAGCACGTACGAACCTTCTGTAGTAGTTAGCCAAACCCAAAAAACTTCGAAGCTCCTTCTGATTAATAGGGACAGGCCACTGCACTATTGCTGCCACTTTACTCGGATCAGTGCGTACTCCATCTCCGGAGATAATGTGCCCCAGGTACTCGATGGAGGAGGCACCAAAAGTGCATTTCGAGGGCTTTAAAAAGAGCTTTTCATGCTGCAGTATCTCGAACACCTCCTTCAAATGCAGCAAGTGCTCCTCCTTGGATGCACTGTAAATTAGGATGTCGTCGAAAAACACCAACAAGTAGCGGCGCAAAACTCCTTGAAACACATGGTTCATTAAGCTCTGGAATGTGGAGGGGGCGTTGCTAAGACCAAAGGGCATAACCAGGTATTCGTAGTGGCCGGAATGCGTCTTAAATGCCGTCTTGTAGACATCATCGGGGAACATTCGGATTTGGTGGAAGCCTGATCTGAGGTCCAGCTTTGAAAAGATTTTGGCACCACCGAGCTCGTCCAGCAAGTCCTCGAGGAGAGGGATTGGATACTTGTCTTTCACGGTCTGCTTGTTCAATCCTCTGAAGTCCACGCAAAGACGCCAATTCCCATCCTTCTTCTTGACCATTACGATTGGTGAGGCATAAGGACTAGAGCTGCATTGTATGATACCTTGAGTGAGCATCTCATCAATCATACCCTCTATTGCGTCCTTTTGCAGTGACGAGTAACGATAAGGGCGCAAGTTCACGGGGTTAGCACCGGATTCCACCGTGATCCGATGATCGAAACCAGGTCTAAAGGGGGGCAGCTCCGTAGGTTCTTCAAAAAGGTTGGAGAACTCGGCTAGTAGGTGTTCCAGAGCTGGATCACCTGACATGTTAGCCTCACCAGCAGAGATATGAGACAACAGGGAATGAGGTTGGATCTCGGAGTTGTTCTCCTCAGTGAGCTGACGAATTTGCAGCAGTGCGGCTTGAGGTTGACGCATCATCAGTTTGTTGAGGGAACCACCCTTCACCACTTTACAGCCGTTCTTGGTGACACCGCGGAGGACATTCTTGACACCGTTCAGTGTGAATTCCATGCGAGGGTTGAGGAAATCCCAGAGGATAGGGCCCAAGGTGGAGAGCCATTGTACTCCAAGCACCAAATCGCAGCAATCTAGGGGTAAAGTGCGTACCTCCGTGGAGTATTTGTATCCTTGAACACCCCACATGAAGTCTCTGCATTTGAAAGACGTGGTAAACACTCCACCGCAAGCTGCAGTGACTGGCATAGGTTTCATGGACTCGAGTAGACAACCCATCTCGTTAGCGATCTTCAGGTCCAAGAAGTTATGGGTACTCCCTGTGTCAATGAGGATAAATAGCTTGCGCTTACCGCTGTAGCCAATGACCCGCATGCAGTTGAACGTAGAGGAACCGTTCAAAGCGTTCACCGAAATGACAGGGGGCTTGTCCGCAAGCTCTTCGCCGTCACTTGCGGTTATAGCAGTAGTACCTTCTTCCTCCTCCGGAAACTCCCAATCTTCTTCATCGCACTCCATAACAAGGATCTGGGAGCGCTTATGCTTGAGGTGGTGACCAGGCGTGTATTGTTCCTCGCAAAACATGCACAAGCCTTTGGAACGCCGGTCCTGCATTTCCTGGTAAGAGTACTTCCTTGGTGTTCTTTCAGGAACAGGTTTTTGGGGTTTTTGTGGGTCGTTAGGTTTAAGGAGAAGGGAGGGGGAGGGTTTGGGTTGGTTTGTTTGGTTGTATTTTTGGTTGGGATTGAAGGGAGCTTTAGTGTGTTTGGAGGGTGTGTGGGAAAGAGAAGCCTCGTGGAGCATAGCGATCCTCGCGACATCAGCAACGGAAGTGAAGGTAAACTGTCGTGTGTGTAGGGAGAGGTGGGTGTTAAGGTTGGCAAGGAAGATGCTTATGGCGTGGGCTTCAGGGAGGGTGATTCGCATTCTGGCTGATTCAAACTTGTCTAAGTAATCAGTGACAGAATCAGAACCCTGTTTGAGAGCTACTAGCTCAGCCAGAGGGTCATCAAAAAGCTCGCTAAAGCGACTGGAAAGAGCAACAACATACTCTGTCCAAGTAGGATACATACCGAAGCGAGTGCTCATGAAGTTTTGATGCCACTGGTTCGCTTTTCCGGTGAGGTGCAGAGCGGCGAGGCGCACCTTTAACTCCGGAGGCGTACCATCGAGGTCAAAGAACTCCTCACACTTAGAAATCCAATCGCGGAGTTCAGAGCCATCAAAAGATGGGAACTTTATCTTCGCGAGGCGGGAGGTGTTAAAGTAAGGGGGTGGGGCGCGGTGGGAGGGGTATCGGTTGGTGTGGAGTGACAGATCTGGTGGTTCTGGTGGGTTGGTAGGGGTGTGGTGGGGGGAAAAGGTGGGGTTCGCAGGGAAGGTGGGGTTGTTTAATGGGTGAGGTGGGCGGTCGGGAGGGGATGGTGGGTTGGAAGGGCCAGGGTCCATCGGAGCTTTACCGGTGGCTTGGATCTGGGAGTTGTGCTGAAACATCAGCGCTTCTAGCCTGTCGAAGCGTGAGTCGAACGAGGCTGATTGAGCTTTCAGGTCGGCGGCGAGGAGCTGGTACGAGGAGCGGAGCTCATCCACTTGCTCCGTCAACGAGCGTTCCTGGAGTCTCGTCTCAACCATGGTGGCGGGTTTTAGGATCGTGCGATGCTCTGATACCAATGAAACAGTATTAGTACCAAAAGATAAATCCCTAACTAGGAGTCTCTCCGTGAGCTCTAAGAAAGGGGGTAATCAAGACTAGGAAGTAGCCACAGGGGAAGAAGGACCACCTCTAAGTGCTGGATTCCGTGATGGAGGATAGTGACGATGGACAGAGATTCTGAAGATAAGATTTAGGATAAAGATTTTGTTAACGTTTACAAGAGGACAAAGTCCAGTACTTAAAGGAATCTAAGACTGGTCTAACATTTGACCTTAAACCGGGAAAAGTAAACCGAAAGCTAAAGTTGGACCGGGATAACATGACCGGGATTATTTTAAAAGAAAGAACTCAACGGCTAGAAGATAAAGTAGGTGAGAAACAGGGGTTTCCTGTTACACTTGTGAAAACAATCACCGATGCGATGCGATGCAATGGATTGAAAATAACCAAATTGGAGAAAGGTGGTTGATCCCCATCGAGGATGTGTATGAATCACCGATGCAGTAGTCTAGTAGGCATTGATTGAACAGTCCATGTTATGTTTACACTACTTTGGCAAATCGCCGTTGTAACGAGTAAACGATAACACAGACTATGTTTGGTTTTGGTGATAGTTTGATAGCTAATATGAAGTTCAGTAAGAAAGAGCTTCCTAGTGAAATCCTGGACACAGCTCCGGAGAGATTAAAGTCCAAACATGGAGGTTTTGGACTCACTAAATTTACATAAAGACATTGCTAGTTAGATCTAAGAAACGTTCCAAAGTAGTAGTTCTAAATCCGAAAACAAAAACCAAAAAAAAAAACAGTTTTGAAATCAAAGCACTTGGAGGAACATATTATACAGCAGCGTGGCACCGTTTTGCCTACCAAAAAATAACAGTGGGGAGTTCTATTTCATCAGTCAGTCTTTCCCGTGCCCCAAGCGAGAAAGCTCTCCTGTGATCCAAATTCCTGTAGACACATAAAAAAAAACAATTTAGCTTTTCTTTTGTGCTTGATTGCATCAAAAAGGTTTTAAGAGAATAAAGTTTACCAGCTGGCTCAGACGAAACTCGGGTGGAGTATCAAGGTCTATGTTGGAGGGATCAAGAACGAGTTTCTGACAATCCTCAAGGTCCCTTTTGAAGTCATCTGTTCCTCCCAAGTGTGCGTAATCACCAAAACATGGCTGCTTGTTCCTTGAGCCTCCTCCATTGTTTGTGTTCTCATCTCTATCCTGCAAGAGATCATCGCAAAGAGACAAGGCTTCCACAAGCTGTTGCGAGTCCAAGATAAACTGAGATCCACCACTGTCCAACCAATTCGGATCTTCCTCAGCTTGGTTTTCATCTTCTTTGTCTTCTTGAACGTTTCCATCTTCCTTATCATTCTCGTTCTCTGTCTCTTTCTCTTCTTTGTCATATACCATTATTTCATTATCTCGGTTTCCAATCCCAGTCTCAGGTGCAGGCTCATCCTCAGAACTTGTTCTTTCATGGTTACGTTGAACTCCCTGAACCTCATCTTCCATATACACTGCCTCGGATATCTTCGGGAAACAAATGAAAGAAGTGTCAGTTAGTTAGAGCGTATCAAAAGAAAGCAGAACCGTAAGAAACTTTTTACCTCAGCAAGAGAAACTTCAGGAGCAGCTACATAGTCATGAGGAACAGCATAGTCATCTACAAAATGAGAATCAGAGTAAACTCGAACACCTTGCGGAGGCTCAGGCGTAAACAGTTTAGGAGTGACAGGATCCACTCTAGGAGTGGCTGCAGCAAAGATATCTTCAGAGACATCCTCTTCAGCTTTATCACCACCACCTTGCTTGAGTATTGCTAGCTGCTGTGGCTGCTGGTAGAATATCTTGGAGACAACGTAGTCACCTTCTTTCTCATCTTCATCTGTCCCCAAATGGTATTGATGCATCACCCAGTTGGTTTTAACGGCTTTCCCACCGTATAGAACCATTATCTTCTTGCAACCTCTTTGAACACCATCCAAGACAACCGGTTTGGTTCTTCCTGTCTTGTGCCAGCGCACATCCCCAAAATCATCGTCGTGAATCTTTCTACGCTTTCGAGTTCCTGTGCTGTAAGCTTTGATTGCTCTGTGGAAGAAGTGGGACACAGTCCCATCTTGCTTCACACCTAAAACAAGTTTCAAGTTTGATTAAGAACTTAAGATAGAACTTGGCAGAACTCTTTTGATCACTACAACCAAAAAGGGCTAACCTGGTAAGTTCTTAGGATGTGTGTAACAGATACCATCATCTTGATTAACAGTTGGGATGAACTCATCAATGAAAGGGTGTGAGCTTAAACCCAACAGACCAGATTTTGCAAGCAAATGCCAGATGATCTCTGGATCAGATGGATCAAATTTGACACCTCGTGGCAAGCCTGGCCAGTCATCAACTTCCTGGGAAAATGTAAACAAAACTTGTGTTGACAAATACACAGAGAAATGTAATACCAAGAGAATAGAAAAGAAAGTAAAAGAAAAAGGTTACATCGTTGTTGTCGATGACATGATGACAGTTGGGACAGTGTCTAGTAGGATTACTGTTCCACACAACTTGGCGCGGGTCAGAACAAGCAGAAGCACTCTTTATTTTAGTAGCAATGCGGTTACTATCAACCAGCCATGATCGTCTGCAAAGACAAAGCATCCATTGGTCAAGACAGTAAGTTCAATTAATATATATTCTAGTATCGAAAAAGATGCTAACAAAACTAAATCCCTAGATTTATTGAAAGAACAAACATTTTTATTTATGCAGAATACTTGAGAGTCTATTGTCCACTCCTCGTTGCGACAAAAGATAAAGTATCTAATAGGACTAAGAAAAATTCTTTCGAGCTAAAACATATTCATCCGCAGAAAAAATTAAAATCAGAGAGCTCCCTCCACTGATTCTTCACAAAAAAAAAGCGGAAATATAATAAAAAAGTGTTCAAACTTTCAAGTCTTCCCGATTGAAATTGACAGTACTCGTATTTAATCAAAACTAAGAACTCGATAACCTAGGAAATAAAAGTGCTTACCCAGCCATGAGATGAGAGCGCTCGATGATGAGAATGAAGAGAAGAAGAACCCTAGATAACCCTCTCTCTCTTTCACAAAGTCTTTAAGTTTGATATTCGTGTCCACATTGAAGTTTCCTCGAATATCGATATTGTAACTCAACTCCGCTTAAAGACTCTTTGCCTTTTTCTTTTTATTTCGTTTGCGAAGAGGGAAACAATTTAGATTTTTTGAGAAAATAAAATCCCGGAAATAAGTGGCAAGTGGAAAGATATAGATAGAGAGAGAGACGACGACTTTGAGTTGACTTCAATTGTAACGAGCCTGGTCGTATATATCAACGGTTCTGATAAGGTTTCTGTTTTAATGGGGGCAGGTGGTGTGTCTAATGATGATGGGTTGTTAATACATGTTTAAATCTCATTTAAAACTAATTAATGATGATATGTAAAGGACCTTTTTTTATCGACACAAGGTGGTGGACAAAACTAAGCATTCAGCTTTTCCATTTGCTTTCCACACATCTTTAAACAAAACTATTTGATATTAGTGGAGTTGATGCATTCACCAGTACGAGACTTTGCATAGAACAAGGCCAAAGCCAATACCAAATTCAATTTTCCACACACGTAAAAAAGATCTTCACTAATGTAATAATGAGTCCACTTTATTCTTTTTCTTTTCTTACACAACCTTTCAAACGATTCAAGCGGAGGTGCTAAAATTACATCTTCCTTACAGAAACAGTTGAGCTCTTGAACTTGTTTGCTGATGATGGGTTTTTAGACAGTGATGAAGCTTTGAACCCTCCGCTCAACAGACTCGACGCTGACGCTGCACATATTTTCCTTCTCTTTGCTTCTAGCTCCAGCCTTTTCTTGCTTGATGACGACATCGAGTAAGATGACTCTGGAAATATGGAAGATGCATGGATCAGAGCTCGTTTATCCTTTCTGTTCTTATCAAACTTGGTCTTGAACTTCACGTTTGATGCAGCTGCAATATCTTCTTCGCTCTTTGGAAGAAGTCTTATCCCCAAGCCTAGCTTCCTTGAAGCAGCCTCTTCTTCAGCTACACGTTTCCTGTGACCCTGGAGAACAAGCAAAAGTTAGAAAGGAAGAAATCAACATACGAGACATTTGTAAAAATTTGTAGCTTACCCTAATTTGTGCACGTAGAGCTTTGTTTAGGGAGTAGTCATCTGCATGCCTTGCGTCTGAGACTCGCTGGAGACGGACCAAAAGCGGTTCTGCTGCTTTCTTCTTCTGCAAATCAACTTCTTGGTGCTCTAAACGATAAAACGGGTCTGCAAGCTTTCCCTTCTCTGCACATGAATTTTAAAATTATACCAAGAATGAGCAAGCACAACATATAAGAAGAATGAAAAGCCCAAAAGACCAATAGAGATTCTGAAGGCAAACTTGTTGAAGAAGGTAGAAACGAACCTTCCTCAGCAGTGAGCTCCATGGTTTCAGCGTCTTCTACGTCATATTCCTCAACCTTCTTCTGAGCACCACTAGTAATTACATACTCGCAGTTCTGAGGATCCGTCTGAATAACTATCTCTTGTTTGCAGCATGGTGCTTTCATCGCAAAGCTCCATATCTGACCATAGTATAAAATATAAACTCAGGAATAGTTTCATAGCAAACATAAGGAGAATGTGTAACAATGCAGTGCACATGTAGTTGTGGTTTTGCCGAGCAGGAGGAGATGCAGAAGTGTAATGTGTCATAATTAAAGCGATGGTAGAAAAATGAAAGAGTCTCAATCGTACCTTTGTAGAATAATAGTTACCGACTTGCTTCTTTTCTGCATTGAACCGAACACCCTTTGCAATCATGGAGTTGCAGCCACCACACCATATATTATAGGGCATCTCGAACCTGAAAAAAAAAGAAGCAAGACCACATATTAAAATTTCAACCAAAGTAGGAGTATCCTCCTGCCAATTCAACACAGTTAAGCAAAGCTTTTGATCGATCAACAGAATGCACATTTGCCAGCAACTCAAGCCTAAAACACACTGTCTCAAACTTTTGATCATCATAACTGTTTGATGTTAATATTTCGGCACAGCCTCATCTTTACTTGGGAACTAGGAAGTCACTGGAAAGAAGATAAAATAGTATATGATTGATTATAGTACCTTATGATCAAAATCCCCTCGCCTATTTTTTTCGCCCTCTCTCTGAGAGGATGCTGTCCTTGAAACTTGTTCAAGGAACCCTGATCCGGTGTCCATTCTGGTGGATAGTAAAAGTTATCTGCCCTCGCAGCTGAAAGTGTCGACTGCAAACAAAACAAAAAAATCAAAACTTTGAGTTTATATGATACCGAACACAAGAAGCTGAATCCCATGCAGAATCACACAGGAATGACACTTGAAATTAAACTAACTAGTAAGCAATTCTTTTGATTAGAACAGATACAAAATTTCGATGACAAGCTAAATTATTCAACTTGTCGATAACAGAAAAGAATGGGATAAGTACAAAAAAACCTCAAATTTATCTATGAACCATATGCTAATCTACTGATAATACAATCACGCAAAGATCTAAATGGTCATGAACGGTGACCTAACGAAACCCTAAACCCACCGAAAACGCTAAATCTCCTAACCAATCCAAATTATCAATCTTAGGGATTGGTACATCAAATCCAATCAACAAACACGATATCCCCAATTTATCACAGAAGAGAAATCAATCGATGAACATACATAGCAATTGTTTAAAGGATCGATTGAGAAAACAAAGAGCACGTACCATCTTCTTCTATGGGAGACTGATCAAATCGCTTTCGCTCTGGCTGGCTATAATAAGTTTCTTGGAGAGCTATAATATTTTTGTTTTTCGTATATAACGAAATCTTATTTTGCCATGTTGTTAAAAAAAAAATGTTGTTAAAAAAAAAAAAAAAACGAAATCTTATTTTGCCACTTCAGAACGTCGCCGTTTTAGAGTTGTTTACACACGGAGTTATTCTTTATCCGTTCGTGATGTGTTTTTATTTGGTTGAACCGAACATATCCAACTCAAACCATATTGCAAATCAATTTAAAATTCGAACCGGAATTTATTGTTAATGTTAAAACGATAAAATTTCGAGAAATTGGGCAACTTAAATCTCTTTTGGGGGGGGGGGGGGGGGATTAAAGTGTGGTTGTTGATATCTTCTTTAAAATTACAAGGTAATATCTAATTTTACCTGTTTCGTTAAAAGTTTGGTTCTTTAGAGGTGTAAGTTGGAACTTGCCGACAAAGTGACGTTTTTCAGTTACAAAAGACATTATAGATTTATTATGCTCAAAGTAAAGGTAAGTCCATGGTCACAGTAAGTCCTACACAGCAAGAAGCTACAAACATTATCAAAAGTTCAAAACGACTTTAAATACTGAAAAACATTGCATTATTACCAAGTCTTAAAACAAAGATCAGAAAACAAATTGATACACCTCGTGAACCACAGAGGATGGGGGAGGAGATTAACAAAGAAAAACATTACATAACAATCAAGTTTTTGTTTTATTGCAACATAACAAAAACACTCGTCGTGACAAAAAAAAAAAAAAAAAGCACTCGAACGCATGACGCGCTCCATCAGATTCTGAGTCTTTAGAACCCTTTTTTAGCACAACTATGAAGTATGATTAGATGCACCTCTCCCTTGGCCACGACCACCATATTCATAGCCGCCGCCACCACACCCATTATAGCCTCCATACCCACGCCCACCATAACCACCACGTGAATGACCGTTTCGGCCATAACCACCACGCCCTCCTCGACCTCTGTATCTTGAGAACTCACCAAAAGTCTGGAATGATAGGTTACAATGCAATAAGAGTCAATGCGTTTCTCGCAAGATTCTGCAAAATTGAGTCTTTCCAGAACCAGAGGAGACTAATTATGTCCAGAGCATGGAAATATATATAGATTCTACCTCAGTATCCAGTTTCCTTAGTTCCGAGAACCTATTTTGGGAATCTCTGTCATTGGTATTTGATGAAAGGCTGTCAAAAAAGTCATCTTTGTTGTAAACAGGCTGCATCAATAAACAATTATGCTATGAGCCAAAGAGGAGGACGGAATATAACGGATTTTCTTGATTATTACTCTACTTCACTTACTTTGACCTCGATCTTAGGCAGCTCAACTTCATCTACGATTGGATAATCATCATCATAATCATTATCATCATTGGTACTCTTCCCAAGGTGTCCCCATATTTCATCCTTATTGAACTTTTCATTCATAGCAGTGAAATAAAAATCTTCAGTGAGCTTCATTACCTGGCTTGTTCTCTGCCAACAAGAGGATTAATTAGCATACATGGCTATATAGTTAATGAGCTGTTTCTATATAGTAAATGCTTCCCCAGCAACAACCAAACTAAGGCCATTCAAATTCTACAAATGAATGAGAAGAACATTACCCCTGCTTCTCTCCCTCTTCCTCTCCCACGTCCCCTGTAACCATTATGGGTTGGGAACGAATGCCCGTTCGGCTGAGAAATAATAAACAAATCAGTAAACAAGATACTAATCAAACAATGAAAATTTGCAAGTAGACATGAATGACGAAATATAATAGACCAGTGAAGGAATCCAGAGTGCTTCGACAAAGAAAAAGAGACATTCACGGTAACTCAGACAACATCAAAAGCAAGATCGTGTTAGATGATCATTACGCCTCAAAACCTCTTCTTGATTATTCAAGGCTCTTTCTCATATCAATAAGTGATGCCACAATATAATTTAAAGGGCTGACAAGTAGATAATTTTGTTTTGGAAATGTATTAAAACCTTTTGAGTTGGCGTTGTAGAGGAAGGAGTGGCAATATCGGAGGTTGGGCTTCTGATATAACTGGAACATATTGTTCCAACCCAGCTGATGATGATACTTGAACCACCTCAACATCTTTATCCTAATTTTTAAAAGGTGTGGAAAAAGAGACTGCAGCAGATTCTGACTGCAGCAGTTGGCCATGAGTAACCAACAAAGGTTTTGGTTATCTTGGCTAATGGAACTAGAAGCTCCAGCAGCAGGAGTAGATGTTAATGGTGTTGTCTGCGGCACAGAAATAAGACCAGTAACTAAACTAGGCTTGTCAGACATTGGAAGGCCAGCACTTGTTTCACTGGCTCTAGTAGTTGACAGAGAAAAGGGAAGCACATTAGTATCCTGAGGTAAGGTAGAATGTACAGCAATAGGAGCTTTGTTCGACAACAAAGGAGGCGCCATCTGTGAAGTTAGGGAAGGAGATGGGGCTGATAGCAGTGTAGATTGCATGCCTGAAGACAGCTTCATAGGTAGACTAGAGAAAGGCAATGAACTGGGAGCTAGACTTTAAGAACTGCTACTATAAGGAAACAAGGACGAGGGTGGGCTTGACACCAGAAAAGGTGGAGGGGCATTAAAGTTAGGATATTGCAGAGGTTGCTGCAAAGAGCTTGGCATTGGCAGGCCATGAGGAGGTGGAATCAGAGACTGCTGATGCAATTGGGGAGCACCATTAGGAGGCGGGGTATAGTATCCTTGCCAATACATTGGTGGTTGTGGTGAAGCTCCCCACGAAGAAAGATTTCCACCAGGCTGATACAAAGGCATTGAGTTTTGGAATCCCATCCCATGCTGACCAGGTTGTCCATTATGAGAACTAATGTCAGGCAGAATTTTGCTAGGCAAGCTATTCGATGTTGGCATCGGGCTAGGGTAGTGAGACTGCAAAACAAAGACAATCAGAGGATGAGGAATCATCAAAATGAGTTTAAAAATCACAAACAATAACATTTCCATCGTACTCACCTGAATTATAGCAGGGTCATTATTTGTAGTGGGTGGAGGTGGAGGCTGAACTGGTGGAGGAGAAGCTTTGACTTGCAAATCCTGCCAAAAACAAGAAAGAATTAGTGTACAAACAGTTATAAACTAGATCAAAAGTACTGTCAAAATCCTGATGGATACCTTGATATCGGTACCATGGAACAGTATGTACTCATAAACTTTCTCACTTGAAGGAACTTGAGGACCATCTTTTTTCCTTCCTTCAATTCCAAATGACCGAACTACAACATATCATCAAACTTCAAGAATCAGGACATTTCTAAGTACCACCAATAGTTATCAAAGCACTGACTACATGAACACTTCTCTTTCTCATGAATTCCAATCAATCTGAGCTGAATAACGAAATCAGAATGATATATACACAAAATCAGAAAGTAGAGCACAAAACGACATCATATCGTTTTGGAGTCCGATACTGGATTCATCGGTATTGATGTTGTAAAGGATGCCTTCGTATCTGATCTCGCTCTTGGATGTAAGACTGATCAAGCTCCCTACGTAAGAATCCGCAGCGGAGGAGCTCGATTTCGCCATATTCGATCTATGTTCCCCTCTTCGCCGAAAGAGAGAGATTCGCAAGAAAGAAGAAGAAAACTAAAAGTCAAGGGAGGGGCAAAGTAAGACACACACACACACACTCCCTGCGCTAGTTCCTTGATCCCACTTCGAGGGAGAAAGCTACACAATTAGGGTTTACTCTAATTTGAGGGGATCGAGCATCTCTCTCTTTCTGATTATCCTTCCCCGTAAATAATAACTACATTTTGACCCGCGCTTGAAAGCGCGGAAATTTTTTATGATTAAAAATTTATATAATTGGGTTTTGTCTTAATTTAAAGAATGTTTTAGTATAAAATCAGTTCACCAAAATTTGTGGTGATGATTGTTTTTTATTAGTTTTTAGTTTCAGTTTTTATTTTTATTTTGTTTTAGATTTTCGTTTTTGGTTTTTAGTTTTTAAGTTTCTATTTTTGATTTTCAGCTTTTGGTTTGTGCTTTTAATTTTTAGACCCGTTGAGTTAGTTTAAAGTGATTTTACCAACAAATAAATCCTAAATAATCGAACATCTAATTTAAAACTGAAAAGATGACAAAATTTTTTTGCAATAGTTTATTTTGTAAATAAACAAAAGCAAAAAAATATAACTTGTGTTTTCACATTTTGGTTTTTAGATTTGGTTTTTGGTTTTGCTTTACATTTTTTTAATCAGTAAATTTTTTAAGAAAAATAAAACAATAAATTATTTAAAATTTACCATTGAAATTTATCAAAATAAAGTGATTTTTATTTAAAATAAAAAATACATTAATTTTAAAGTACATGATTTAAATAAATGATTAATAATAGACATTTTTGTTTTCTTAAAAATATTAAATACCTTTTGGGTGTAAAGATAATAATTGATTTTTGATCTATTAAGGTGGAAAGTTTATCCAATGTTTTTGGAGTTTTTCCTTAATACTAAGCCCAAAAACTAAACTATATAATTTGTTTTAAAAACAAAAGTAAGCCCAAGACTATATCCCATAAATAACCATCGGTTTAATTTAAGTAATGCGGTTTAATTAATTATATGGCTTGTGTTAAATATTTATAAAATTCTAGAAATAGTCCAAATTTAAATGATAACTTGTATCAGTAGATAAAAAGAATGACTCTATTTTAATAGAGTAGATGTCTCTCTGACTATAATAGCCTCGGCTCATCTAACAAAAAAATATTGAAAAGTCAATATCTAGAGCAATGACTATCCACGTAGAATTGAAAAATCAACCAGTGAGAAAGTTTTATTTTGCCACGTCAACACCACTGTGTTAGAAACTGATCAGGTGGACTTCATAGAAACAATAATCCGGCCCGTCTGTTGGTGTCAAAATCGGTCACGACGGAATCAATGGTTAAAAGTTTCCGTAAAAATAAAAATACGTTTTATAAAACTCAATAAGTGGTTTTATGATACTTGAGAAGTCGTTTTATAAAACTCGATAAGTCGTTTTATAAAACTCGAGAAGTCATTTTATAAAACTGGAGAAGTCGTTTTATAAAAGTCGAGAAGTGGTTTTATAAAACTCGAGAAATGGTTTTATAAAACTTGAGAAGTCGTTTTATAAAAATCTAAAAGAAATCCGCGAAAAACTTGGGAGTCGTTATCTCGAAAAAACGAAACAAACGCCGATTACACGATCTTCCGAGTTAAGCACAAAACCACGAAAAATCGCATCCGCCGTAATCCGCAAGCTGGTTCGGCCGAACTAGCTCGCCATACGGCGAGCTATCTCGACCAAGACTAGTTCGCCGTACGGCAAGCTAGGGACGTTCTGTATAGCTCGCCGTACGGCGAGCTAGGGACGTCCCGTATAGCTCGCCGTACGGCGAGCTGAACCGGTCCGGTTCGGTTCGTCGAGCTATTTATCCCGAGCCTCGATCTCCCACGTCCTCGAGTCAAGGCATACGTCCTTCGGCACGACCGTGTTCCGAACCACGATCGGAATGTCTCAGTTTCCTCTCGACCCGTCCTATCGTTCGAGTTTTACAATAAAAATCGTAAAGTCTTGTTTTCTCGAAAGAACTCAAGGAAATTGTATAAAACGGCAACGGTTAAAACAAAACACTGAAAATTGCCTAAACTATACGATTTACTTGAGATTTTTCGTGAGAAATTGTAAAAAACGCGTTTTTAATAAAACTTCGAGTGAATCATAGAAAGCGGCAACGATTAACCAAAACATCGAACATTGCCAAACTTTACGATAAACTCTAGAAAGTTATTTAAAAACGGCATCGCATCAGGAAACGATCTCGTGTGAAGTCGTAAAACGGTTTTATAGCAAAACGGCTCGAAAAGACCAGAAACGCGATGAAAGTCCATCTTGCGGCTTTGATGAAGTCTAACCCGAAGATACGACGACGTTCTGATGTTTTACTCATAAGAAAGAAGATAAATGTCAAATTTGAAGATAAATGTCAAGTTTGAAGATAAATGTCAAGTTTGAAGATAAATAGAAGATTTCCTCGGGAAAAAAAGGAAAGATCGAGATAAATGGAAGATTCTCGATAAACTCGAATCTGAGCGAAATGGAAAGACTAAACCGTCTAGGAAGGAGTATATAAGCAAGAGGCAGAGGACAGAAGCAGAGGACAAATTTGAGAGCTCTCATCTGAGACTTTTACAACTTTTCTAGACTTAGAATTTTCCGCACTTAGAAACTTAGGCTTTTTTCTCGACATGTTCGGTTTCTATGACTGGCGCTCAATTGCTAGATCAAACTCGCCCAGGCAGTTCGATCTCTTGTCCAGATCTACCAACTGAACTACGTTCGACTTGATCCTCGAAAGGGGTACGTAAGCAGTCTTTCATAAGGTTCAGTCCGAAATCGATGAAACTCTCTTTTTCTTATCTTTTTCGTCTTTTTTTATCGAGATGCGACTTGACTAGGTTTAGGGTTTTATGTTGATAACTCGCTGATGGCCCCTGCGGCCAAAGCCTTTGTAACCCTTGTAATGATCGCAACACTCTTACGCGAAATCGAAATAAGATCTACTTTTTCTATAAATTTGTTTTATTACGTTTTTCATATTTTTCCGCAATTATTTGGTTACTTGTCGTTGGATTTTGCAGAGATCCGGGTTCTCTGGAAAATTAGGGTTTTCCTAAGTTTCCTTATTTTACGGAAATCGACGCTGTGAATTTCGGTTGGCTCTAGAAGGAGGGGGGGGGGTCAGATTACTCTTACTCATAGCCGCAAAACGCTTGTTCAAAACGATGTCTGGATATATGAAAGACAAAGTCGCAACTCGCAAAAAATGCTGGTAAAACAACTCTAGCAGCGACTGCTCCTATAGCCAACGCTCATGCAAACGCTGTAGTAATTAACAAAATCGAAAACTTAATCGCGACTCTTCACCACGGAAAGAGCATGAAACGAGCTTGCGATTTCTCCATCTAAACAAAAGGGCAACGATAAAACCAATCAAACCTCGTAACCGAATCGGAGAAATCTCAACGTGTGAAGGTTTGACCAGCTCGTCCACTGGCAAGTTGGACACGATTCTCAGGATCCTAAGCCTGATCCTATTCCAATCTCGATCGTACAGCTTTTTGTTTCGTCCAATCGGACTTTTCGTCTAGATTCTATGACGAAAACAAGTCAACTCGACGAATCGAGATTATCCGCACCAAACAATTCAGCTCGCCGTACGGGGAGCTGCACCGAGCAGATCAGCTCGCCATATGGCGAGCTGACCGGCCTTCCACCTCACCCAAGAGGCGCTGACTTTGCCCCAAGGGTTCTTACCACCCATTCCTCGAGCTTCTCTCTCCAGTCTCGATCGTACAGCTTTCCGTTTCGTTTCAATCGGACTCTCCGTTGAGATTTTACGACGAAAACAAATCAACTCGACGAATCGAGATTGTCCGCACCAGCTCGCCGTATGGCAAGCCGAGAGGGCGAACGGTCAACCAATCCTCGAGTTGTTCTCTCGAGTCTTGATCGCGCTGATTCTCGTTTCGTCTCAATCAGAATTTCCATCGAGATTTTACGACAAAAACCGCAAATTTCGAATCAATCGTCTAAAACGGCAACGGTCGACTTAACAACAAAGTTGCCTAAACTATACGAGAGATCAGAACTCTCTAAACGCAATCCGGTTTTACGAAACTCTGCCATGCAAAGTCGAAAACATCCAATCATAAACACGTGATTGAGTTTTCGATATACAAAGCGCACCTAGTCGGTTAAGTAAAACCAGGTGTACGAAGAGACAAGAACATAAACTCGGACGATGAAATCCCTTCCTCACTCCGAAACTCCTGTTGGTGTTTTGTCAAAGACCGATTCATACAAAAGTAAGTCAAAAGACGAAGAGCGAAGAATAGGCGGTTCCAAATCATCGATTAAACTAAGGTATGTCCGATTTGAAAAATTTATTAGACTTCTAATTTCTCGTAGGAACGAAAATGAAAACGTCTTGTAAACTGCCGTAAAACCTAGAGAACTTAGAATTTAGGGGATAGTCTAGAATGCTAAGTCGTAAGCAATTTTTGTCTATCTCGATCTATTATTCTCTAACCATTCAGGCATAACTCGCAAACCGATCTAATCTCTCGTACAACCGAGAAACGATCGCCACGCATTCGAGCATACTCATTTCCTAAAAGAAAAAAGGAGCTAGAGACGCTGACGTCGTCTTAAAACCGACTCGCTCCTAGAAATTTTTGTAAATCAGACATACTCCAAATCATCACCAATCCACCATGGTCTTTAATCGACTCGGATTGCCGATCATCCTTCAAAGGAAACTCATCTCTTTCGTCGAAAATTTTTCCCTCACAACGAGAAAACGCTTTCTAAGTAGCGAACTCTCGCAAAAATAAGCGGAATAATATCCGGACAACGCAGCGCCTCGTCAAAATCATCCCAAAAGCAAACGAGAATCTAAGAACCGTCTAAACGTTAAAGACTGATCCAAAGTCATAAAGATCTTTTCCAACTTGATAAAACAAGTTTCGTATAAGAATCGCAAAATTATACGAGAAATCTTTAAGCGTCAAAGCGTTGATCTCATTCTCCGTCGAACCAAGTTAGTCACAGAATAATATCAAGAATATTTGCGGCAAAAAGAAGGATCAAGAATACAAAGCAACAATAGAGAACACGTCCTCTCTTCTCGCCGACTGATCTTATTGCTGGTCATGTGATTCATTCCACCCAAGAAATCCGCTAAAACATTTTGCGACTAGATCTCGGTGAAATAATTTTTGGTAAAACTCCGCGAGTGACTCCGAAACACCGAAGAATCAAAAATTAAGCGGAAGGGTTTCTTGAAAAATCTGCAGAAACATTGCTAACCCAATGCGTGGTGCCGATTTACTAAATTCATCGCCCGTTACTTACGTGAGAAATTCTTCGTATAGTCAGGATCATGTCATAACGAAGTTACTTCCGAAAGTAAACGTAACAGGTTTTGCCAAAAGTACTTTCCTTATAGCGAAAACCAAGCTATACGATCCGGCACTGAGCGACCAATGTAAACTTTGCTTCCTCGCGCCACAATCTGAAAGATCTCACTCTTTAGCCCTTCCGTTCATGAGCATCCGCCCTCATTACTCCCGATTACATCCGAGAATGAAACCGCCCTGCAAGCGACTCCGCACGGGCTCTGCATCGAGCTTCTTAGGCTCTGTCTCCCTCGAGTAAAAACAAAAAGAAACAACTTCCATACGAACAAAGGAAAGATTATACGAAACTTTCGTCGTATAGATCAAAACTAAGACGGAAAAACATTTCTACAACCACGGGAATAGTTGGCATATCAAGCTCGACAAACGCTACTTGGCTATTGTCCGATCACACTTCACTTTAATGCCAAGTTTACAAACCGACTCGACCTTTTCGATAGCACGAAAGTTTTGTCGTCTAATCCTCCACCAAATACGACACTGGCTGTGCGGCTGAATACAACCTTCACTCCAAGCCAACACATTCAACGGATAATGCAAACTTGTCGAAAATTGGCTAAGTTCTGTATTCTCACAATTCACTCTATTTTTGAAGCAAGTTGCCTACAAAATCCGACGTGTAAGAAAACACTCGTACCAGAGCTCCTAAAGCCGTACGAATCTCGGAAGGGCAACACTTCACAAGGCACCGTAAGAAAAACGCTTTGTTTCGGGAAAAAAACTTACGCGACCTCTCGGTCTTAATTGCTCTAGCACAAATCATAAAACTACTTAACATCCAAGCAGGAACGTGAGTTTTGATTGCGAATTCCCTCGCAAAACCGCAAAACATCTTCGAGCCCGCAAACGTTCCGAACACGAAACGCGGCATATAAAATAAAAACCAACTTTCGGCACTGCGAGACGTCTCAGACGCCCGGAGATTAGTTTTTCGACACAAATACCTTCCTCGATAAAGTCATTTTCTTGTAAGACCTAACAGTCCATTCGCGACTATAAAATACGCAAAACTTCTTCACATACGTATCCTTCGCGAAGGCCCAAACAACGTAAACATCTAAAAGTTTGTTGCTGAGCATAACAAACTCGCAACAGTCCTAAACAAACTAAGTTATCTCACAGAGATAGCTCTCGAACACCCGAGACAAGGGTTTTTCCGCTGTTTCTGGGAGAGCAAGTTTTATTTTTCGAACAGTTCTCGGAAAACGTCTTTTGCTCAACCCATGAGATTTGTCAAACTCGGAAATAAGAAAAACACTATGGGGTTTAATAGAATTTATCGTTGCCCTTAGTGATCTGAGATAGAAATCGCGAGCTCGTTTTGTTGCTCTTCCCGTGGCGAAGAGTCGCGATTAGGTTTTCGATTTTGTTGAGTACTATAGCGTTTGCGCGAGCGTTGGCTGTACGAGTACTCGCTGCTGGAGTTGTTTTACCATCGTCTTTTTGCGAGTTGTGACTTTGTCTTTCATATATCCAGACATCGTTTTGATCAAGCGTTTTGCGGCAATGAGTAAGAGTAATCCGACCCCCCTCCTTCTAGCGCCAAACTGTGGGAACCGAAATTCACACTTGTCGATTTCCGTTAAATAAGGAAACTTAGGAAAACCCTAATTTTCCAGAGGAACCTGATCTCTGCGAAAGCCAACGACAAGTAACCAAATAAATGTGGAAAAATATGAAAAACGTAATAAAACGAATTTCTAGAGAAAGTTGATCGTATTTCCGATTCACGTAAGAGCGTTGCGATTATTACAGGGAATTATAAAGGCTTCGGCCGCAAGGGCCATCAGAGATCTGCCAACATAAAACCCTAAATCTAGTCGAGTCGCAGCTCGATAACGAAAGACGGAAAAAGATAAGAAAAAGAATTTGATAGATTTCGGACTGAACCTTATGAAAGGCTGCCTACGTACCCCTTTCGAGGATCAAGTCGAACGTAGTTCAGTTGATAGAGCTGGACCAGAGATCGAACCGTCGAGGCGAGTTCGTCTAGTAATTGAGCGCCAGTCATAGAAACCGAACTTGTCGAGAAAAAAAACCTGTTTCTAAGTGCGGAAAATTCTAAGTATAGAAAAGTTGTAACAGTCTCAGATGTGAGCTTTGAAATTCGTCCCCTCGCTTCTGCCCTATGCCTCTTGCTTATATACTCCCTTCCTAGGCAGTTTAGTCTTTCCATTTCGCCCAGATTCGAGTTTATCGGGAATATTCCATTTATCTCGATCTTTCCTTTTTTCCCGCGAAAATCTTCTATTTATCCTCAAACTTGACATTTATCTTCAAGATAGTGCATGAGAAGATGCGTTAGGGGATAATATGTGCAACAAAAGAGGTCTATTGATTAGCAATGTGGACATGAAACATAAAGACACCAGGATCATTAGTGTACACCAAGTAGTTGTTTCAACATTTCAGCACATAGTCTAGGAACAAAATACAGATGGGGAGTTAACCGAGCTTAGTACATCAAGGCATGGGTCCTAATAATGAGAACGTTACATGGCCTAAAAAGATGTCCCGGGTCCTAATTATGAGAACGTTACATGGCTTAATTAGAAGAACCCCCAAACTATGTACATAACTTATAGACGACAAGAAGCACAAAAACACACACAACCATGTTTTTTAAGCTTTTAAGTTCCATGTGGACATCTTTAATGTCCTGTTCTAATCCTGTGATCTCGTTTTTGAGAGCGCTAACGATACTGCAGCAAGTATGTTTTCTATTGCTAGAGTTTCAATCTGAGATTGACACACTTGTAAACCCTTTATCGTGTCAAGTGAAGCCCTTTGAAGACCATCAAGATTGATTTTTATGTCCTCATTTTCCTTAACCATAGACAGATATGTCCATTTGAAGAGATGGTGAGGACTGTTCTGCAATCACAAAAAGGGATAAGAATCAGGAAGAGGGTGTAGGGTAAAAAGGTTAAGGGGGTCACGTTTATTCGGGAAAAGGGGCAATTGTACAAGAAATCGAAGGGAGAGGGATTTGGTTAACATCAAATGCATACCTCATTGCCATAGGGACAACTGTGAAATAGGCGGCCCAGGTTGGTAATGGTTTTGGATGTGCGCCGGGAAACGCGTGCTCCACAGGGACAGTTCGTTGGGAATCCTCTGCCTCTGTCTCCCATCAAGACTGCCTTTTTCTTCTGCGGGTGTGTGGGTTGTTTAATTAGGAAGATGAACCCTAATTTCAATATTTTGTGCCCGAGCCATGATTTATTGAGGAGAAAGGTGTTTTAAGTGGGGAACTAAAACAGCGTCGTTTTAATATGGAGCGTTGTGTACGAACTTGATTGTGTACGACTGGTGATGAGAGAGGTGGGTGTACAGGTCTGTGTTTTATAGAACAACCACTGTAATAGCGTACACATGTACGCTGCTTTTAATTTTGATAAATAATTTATATGAAGAATTAAGTGTTAAACTTCTCCCAAAAGGATCAACCAATACACAGGGGTGAATCAACCGTCTACGTTATGGGTGTGTGGGTTGGATAGAATATTTTTGATATTTCCAATTTTTCTGAGAGTAAACATGTAAAATTGGATAGAATAAATGGTAAAAGGTGGGGTGTGCACCCATAATAACCCAAGTTCAACTCTTAACTATGTCATTTATTTTCTTATCATCAAAAGTGCACCCACTAGCCAAAACTCCTAGCTTCGCCCCTGCCAATACATGTTCATAATGTTTAGACATGAGTAACACAAAAAGCCAAAAAGGTACAACCGAGAGAGCTGATCCTAGGTGAATTCGCTATCCAAAAGATGGTGCCCGTGGATATAAGATTAACCACAGTCAGATCACCACAACGCAGCGAGTTCGATTGTGACCAGTGCCCCCGAAACGTCCACATTTTTTTGGGATGATCTTGGTTTTCTTAGGAGGATGAGCAAATAAATTAAAGAAAATAAGTTAGAATAATTGAAAAACACTGCTAAATGAATTGGAGAAAATCAAGTTACTTGAACCTCTCCTGTGGAAGGAATCCTTTTATCCTTAGGTCGGCCAGAGGGGCGGCGGGTTTTCGGAGGGTAGATGGTAAGATCAGTGATATGACGGGGTATCTGGAAGTCGCCTAAAGGAGCCTCAGGGAAGATCACACCAGAGTAAGTGTCAATCCAGTGTTGTGTCTTGTAGAATTCAGAAACCAGTTGGTTGTAGGGGAGACCAACTGAGTCAGTGGCCAAAAGAGCATGTCCACATGGGATTTTCAGCTTCTGGAACACTTGACATGTACAAGCTTTGGCTTCCAAGTGGACAGTGTTGTGGTGACCAAAGAGACCCCTAACTGAATAGCTTCATTCCTTTGATTGAAAAATTTTGCTGCTTTTGGTGAGTCTGATGTGAGTCTGAATGACCTTATCAACCTCTGGTGTGACAAAACCTCTCTGTTTAGCTGATTTGGTCCTCCTGGCTGAGAACCTTTGGGTTAGCATGCGTTGAATGAACATGAACATCTCGACAATTGGAGAAGCTCTGAATTTGGAAATAGCATTGTTCAACTAATCTGCAACGTTGCTGGTGAGGAGATTGTCATGGTGCTCAGGGAAATAAGTGCGAGACCATTGGGCAGTGCCTATGTCTTCGAGATATTTGAAGCAGGCTGCATTAGCTAGCTTGATTTTTCCAAAGTTTTTATCAAAATCAGCTCGGTGGAAAGAGAATGCAGCCTCACAGACCATCTTTGCAAGGCCCTTGCTTTTGTACAGAGAAACAACATTTCTCATCAGGTGAAGAATACAAGCCCCATGATGTGCCTTTGGGAAAACAATTTGTTTTGCTTTAATGATGGAGACATGGCGATCTGAAATGATGGTGAGGGTGGTGGAGTCCGCAATGATCCTTTCAAGCTTGGTTAGAAACCAAGTGCAGGCCTCTTCGGTTTCACCGTCAACAACATCAAATGCGAGAGGGAACACTTGGAAGTTGCCATATTGTCTACTGGCAGTGAGGAGTACACCTTTGTATTTGCGAGAACGGTGAGTGCCATCAATAATAAGAACAGGGTGTAAGCGGTGGAATCCTTGGATAGAAGCACCGAATGCTAGGAAAGCATACAAAAAGCGGGTGTCACCATTATCGTCAACCTCAGTTTCTATTTCAGTGATTGTCCCGGGATTAGTTGCTTTAAGCCTTTCAAAATAACCAGCTACGCTGAGGTAGGAGTCCTCTGCATTACCATGTGTAATGTCTAGGGCAATTCCCTTAGCCCGATGGCATTTCATATAGGAAGCATCAACTCGTAAATCTTCGAGAACCATTTGCTGGAGCTGCATTGCTTCGGGTGCATTGGTGGGGTCTCCATATTTGGAGCGGTAGATATGTGCTAAGACCTTGGCAGCAGAACGCTTCTTATAATGCCTTCGAGTCTCAGTATCACAAGTGTGGTTCAACTGACACTTCTTAATAGTGTAATAGCCGCAAGTGGTGAGCTCCTTAGCGAGGATTCTCCAATCACAACGAGGGTCATGGAAAGTGAGGATAAAAGAATTCCTGCTGGTTCTGTTTGTCTGAAATAAAATTGTTCTTTGATTGCATATATCGCGAGTCCAATTTGGCAGTCTTCCTCTAATGCATACAATTTTCCAACACAAGGTTCATCATCGTCTATATCCAAATCAGGGATGGTGTCAGCTTCATACAAAGTGTCGTCAAACATGGGGGGGATATCGAATTCCTCGTCACTTATCTCAGATAGGGGTCGGACTCATGCGCAGGTGGGGTCGGTGGATGGGGCTGGTATGGCTGAGAGTACGATGTGCGAGCTGAACTGTTGGAGGCAGAAGAACGGCGTACAGCTCCGAGTATGTACGGGTGGAGGGGGTACATAGTTTGACGATGAACGTACTTCAGGTTTGCAGTATGGTAGTTCACCAGAGACAATCACTATGTGATCAAAAGTGTCCCCAGTGGTGCAGTGGATGATATGGGGTGCAGTCTTGGGTACTGAGACACCCACCATGAGCTCGGCAGCAACAGAACCACCAAGGTGGTCGTCAATGAGTGGAGCCCATAAGTCTTCATCATAACCACGGGCTTGAACATCCTCAAAACCAGGAGTAGTAGAAGCGTCAGACTGACTTTCATCATCCTCGTCGGTTACCAGCTGTCAGGTATGTATTCGGGGTCGTCTTTAAACATGTTCTCAAGGAGCTCATCTCCGTATAGGAGGGTTTCGTCTGCAAGAGAAAAGCTCTGGATTTTTGATGGAGCAGAGCTCCCTGCCTCAGTTGTTGGTTGGTCGACATTATCGGTGTGGAAAAGAGAGAAAGGGAGAATCTGAGACACATATGCTGAACAGTGTAGAGGTGGACAGCTTACTGGGTGAACAGACTGGCGACTGACCCTGTGTACAGGAGGATAACTACAAGGGTGTACATGTTGAACAGATGGATAATTCCGAGGTGGTACAGGTGGACAGCTCTGAGAGTGTACAAGTATACAAATCTGGGGGGGGGGGGTACAGGTGGATAACTTTTAGTATGTACAGGTGGAGACCTTCGAAGCTGTACAGGCGGACAGTTATGAGACAGGTCGAATTCATCATCTTTAAAAAGGGAGAAACCTGGTTTCTGAGAACCAGCGGTAGATGGGCTGTGTGTCCTTTTGATAGGATTTGGCCTGTTGAAAGGTAATGGATTCTCACCAACACGACTGGTTTGAGGAGTGTTGAAGGTGATAAACAAGTTCATTCCTTTGTTTGTTTGAAAGTGCTGGTAAAAGTAGGAGACAGCTCCGTCGTTTGTGAGCATTACTGGCGGTGTGGTGAGACCTGTTGCAAGCTCCTTTGTATTTGGTGGCCAATTGCTAAGAGCAGCGGTGCGGATGCTGTCAGAATTTTCAAAGAAGTCCCTAAAGACAGTGCTCAATAATTCAGTCAATGGTATGCATTTATGCAGAGGCACAATCCTTGTCATGTGTTGTTTGTCTATCGAGAAGTTCCAGTGGTTGTCTAGTGAAGTTTTCCACTCGCCGGAAATAACCATAACATGCTCCGACATGTCCGACGGATGCATAACAAATAGGTTAAAGGTAAAATCAAAGATCATTACACAGATAATTAGGGGGTAAATGATATAGATTAAGAGATTAATTTCACCTTCTAAGTATATGGTTAGCAGAGATTTCTGTTTGAAGATGATGGAAGTCGACGGTGAAAGTTTTTTTTTTCCGAAACACGACGGTGAAAACTAGGCTCGGTGAAAAGTGGAAAAAAAGGACGGCGAAGATGGATGGGAGAGGGTGAAATACCGTAAGAAATTCTATTCAGGAAAGAAGAGTAAAGATCTAACGGTGTGGATGGATGGCAGATAAAAGTCTTGTCCAGATCTGAGAAAGTTAATATGGGCCATTGGTGGTTTATGCAGATGGATGGCTGAGAACAAAATCCGCCTATTTCTTATCAATATTCATGGATCATCCCTTTCATTCCACTTCTAGTACCTATTTGACTAGGGCTGGACTTCTACTTTTTTTAGTTAACGAGATTAAGGGTTGGGAGTGAACTAAAAATGCTCCTTTCTTTCCCTTTCTAACGAGTGTCTAGGGGAAAGTGCACTTGTATAAACAAGTGACTACTTGTGATATTAGAGAGTACAATAGTGACTCTGAACATAAAATTATCTTATAATAACAAGGCCAAGACGTATAATAATTCCATCTCTATGTACTTTCATCCCCCGTATACACGCGGATTTGTATTTTATCTATTTTCTTGGCTACTTTTAAATTTTTTTTTTCTAATGCAGTTATAAGATGTATTGTGTAATTCTGTATTTAAATTTGGTAAACTGAAAAGTCAGGACCGAAGTAACATGTGCAGGTTCATGAGTCTCATATTGGATGTGTGTTTGTTTCAAGATGGTCTGAGGACGAATGGAAATCTAAAAGAGCATTTATTTGACTTTTTGTTGCCGTTCGGTCTTTACATTGTTACATCTTCTCTATTAAAAAAAGAAGTATCATTTTTATCTACTATAAAATAGTAATAATGGACTATATATTCAGTTGCATTTTTAATTATTTACGTTAGTTTATTTAATGTATAAAACTTCTAAATAATTATAAGGATATTAATAACAAATCTATTTAACAGTAAATTTAAATTTTAGTTTTAGTAATAACA